TAGCAACTACTTTTCTACTTTCCGTCTCTATAAGTTTGACTAAAAAAGATATATTTTTAAAATTAGGAATTCATTTACTTAACAGTCATTTTCCAAGAAATTTTCCAGAAACATTTCATAGTATATGGTATAGCTGAAGAGGCCCAGGGCAAGGTGACTCAGGCACTGGTACTACCAGCTAACCATGGGACCCTGAACAGAGCATTAACATCCCCCTAAATTCAGCTTCCTCATCTATTTAGTTCCTTCAAGTGTCAACATATCAATAGGTTATGAGGAACAGCTATAAGTCTATGAAAAACATGGAAAAAGAGTCAAAATATTTTAAGAACAATGACAACTTTGAAGATGAATGCCTTGTTTCTATATATACCACATTACAATAATGTTTACTTGGTTTGTTTAAAAAGAATGTACCAGTCCAAATAGATTCCAAAATAGAAGTTGCTTTTACTTCATTTCCTCTCAGTTTCCTCCTGCTGACTTAGCAAATTAGATGAGTAACAACATCTAATTATCAAAACTACACAAGTAAATGTCTCACAATTCTTTCTCATTGACCTTACGGAGTCCAGCATTGCAGCAATAATCAAGGAATCAAGAATAAAAATAATGGAGAATCTTACTACAGATTTACAGTTTCTTATCTTAACTGTTAAGAACAGATTTATTTCAGAATTCAGAATTTTTTGGATTTTAGAAGAGTAAAACAATTCCAATGACGTATATGATGTAAGACCCCAGTGAGGTCTGCACAGATTAATCTAAAACGTGGATATCCCTGTATCAAATACATGAATAGTTATAGTAAGTCCAATACATAAAGAGTAAATAGACTCAATTTAAGACAGTTTTGCTGTCAAGTGAATGTAAGGTCACATTAATCCAATATTGTCACCAAATTAGTTACAAAAACCTTTTGATTTTTAAAGTATTCTGCATTTTACAATTCTAGATAAGGGACTGTGGACCTGTAGTGTCATCATACCTCATTTTTACCTAAGCACTACAAAACAGTTGGGCTACAGCTTAGATGATCTGGAACCATCATTTCATGCTGTAGGCCAGAGTATATTCCTTTCTTCGGGACAGGAAATGACTATTGATGCCCAGAAGCTTTTCTGAAGGGGACTGTATAGGTATGGCTGGAAAGATCTCAGAGAATATTTACGTATATCTACATTGAATAAACAGCAACTTTAAAGGGCAACATTTAATTACTGGTCATTATTTCATTTCATTTTTGCTCTATTAGGCTTAAAATTAGTTAACACTAGAGTTGATTCTGCATATCAAATAATCTCACTTATTAGAATGCCTGAGATGGTTAGGACCATGGACCCTGAGCCTGACTCTGGATATACTTATTAAATGTGTAATCCTGGGAAAGTTACTTGTTTTGTGCCGCTGTTTTCAGGGTATAACAGAATCTGCCTTGCAGGCATATTGGAACATTCATATTAGTTACTATATGCTAAGTCCAGAGAGCTGTACTTGGCTCTACGAAAGCACTCTAAGGAGTTATATTGTCCTGAGTGTTGTCATTGTTGTTGGCAATGATCTCCAGTCCAGTGGTTCTCAACTGGTGGTGAATTTCACCTACTGGGAGACATTTGGCAATGTCTGGAGACATTTTTGGTTATCACATCTGGCATGAAGAGGGTAGAAACCAATGATACAGCTAAATAGCCAACAATGCACAGAACAGCTTTTTCTAACAAAGAATCATCCAAAATATCAATGGTGCTAAGGTTGAGAAATCTTACTATAGCCTCTTACTTTATAGGTGAGGAAATGTACATCAAAGAGATTAATTTTTCCAGTTAAAATAAAGCTGGAATGAAAAATTTCACCTCCTATTCGCAGGTTTTACTTTTGTGGGAAAGACAAAATGAACCCCCTCTAAAAGTGAAAAATTGATAAAAGTCACTTTCAAGTACAGGCCAAGTAAAACTCCAGTATGGCTCATTGGTTGTGGAACTAGGAGTCAGCAAATTGGCTCCTGGGCTAAATCCGGCCTGCTGCTTGTTTTTGAAAATAAAGTTTTATCAGAACACAGCCATGCTCATTTGTTTACATACTGTCTATGGCTACTTTTGCATTAAAGTGGCAAAAACTATGAATAGATGCAATAAAGACCACATGGCGTGCATGACCTAAAATATTTACTATCTGGCCCTTGACAGAAAAAGTTTGCTGACCTCTGCTATATAAGAAATCATTTCAAATATTTCTCATGAATTACATAGGTGATTTAAAAAAATAAGTATAAATAAGTTATTTTACCTGGTTTCATGTCAAGAAAAATAAAATATTCAGCAACATATGATGGTAGAACAGCTAGGACATCTATATTTACCTGTATTCTGTCTTCAAATAATGGTTAGCTCGTTCCAAGCACGTTATTAAATCTGTCATAAATAAAGATAATTGAAATTAACAGACTGAATGGAAGTTAGGAACTCATGCTCGAAAGATTTCTTTTTAAATAAAGACATTTAAAAAGCATTTATTCATTATCTAGTTATCTGAATTCTGTTTAAGAATAAATAAAAACTGAGAACACTGACTGAGGATTTAGTTAGTTAGTTAGTTCCCTTCATTTTTTGTTTTTAACACCAATGATGGTTTTTCAATGATTGTCCTGTGAATGATAGCAGAATCTCTTCCCAACAGAAAAACCAACACTGGTTAGTTACTATCCACGACATGCCTATAAGATCATGCGTATAACCTCCCTTGGCAGGAGGAAAACAATTTCAAGAGTCCCGTGTGGTTCATAGAGAAAGTTCAGGAGCATTTTAACAACTTAGTGACATCCAAGTGACCACAGAATCGGTGTTTACCAAAACTGTGAGGAATCAGGACCAAGGACTTAAATAAGAGTGCTGTTTGGAGTACTGGAGAGAATTCAGCAATGGAGATGCTAAGATTTTGTAGATTTTGATGCATTTACATTAACCTAGTATAGTTTCCGAAATATTCCATACTTGCTGCAATAGTTCATTCTTTCCTTAGTTTTTAAGAAGCAATGTATGGTGAACACTGGGCATGCTGGGGCATGCTGGGGCCTGCTGGGATTGGTCAGATCTGATTGGCTAAGAAGGAAATGAATGGTGCACCCACTTCCCAAGGTACATCTGCCAGAGTAGGGGGGACTGAGAGCAGAAATTCTGAGCACTTGTGACCCTCCGCCAACACAGAGTAGGATGCATGGTGATTAGAACACAAGAGGCTTGGGCAGAGGCCATGCTTTTCTCTCCCATTAGTGTTCATGCTTCCTTTCTCCCCTGTTCAAGTGTCAGCTCTGTGGTTGGAGGACTCTGCGACAGTGACTGCATCCTGCTCATACTCACATGCCTCCCACACTGGTACACTGGTAGACGTATGTGTGCACATGTGGGGGGTTGAGGTAGGGTACCACTGGTTAAAAGGCTTGTCCCCTGAGCTAAGAAAAGAGTTGGGGGAGGGGTTCAGAGAAACCATTTAGAAGGGTCAGAACAGCAGCCCTGAAGATGCTCCACCCAAGGTTCCTGGGACAATGAGATGAACCCTCTCCCACACAAGACAACTTGTCTAACATGTTTTATAAAAGTGTTCAGTTCAGACCTAACTACCTACAAAGACGTTGGATTCTCTTTCCTCACATCTTAATTCAGTATTTGAGGTCACAGTTCTGTCCCGAGACAGTGATAAGCAGCAAGAGGAATTTTTAAACAGGTAAAGGTTTATAGATTTGTGTTGATTCTTCTGCCATACCTGGATGGTCGCTGCTGGCATAGTTCAGCAAAAAACCCCGCCCAGAAATGTGGGATCCACTCTCAAAGCGAATAGTTACTTCACTTGTGTCCAGCAGGAGTTCTTTGGGAACATCCATATTTCCACAATACGGACCTAAAAACAAGGCACATTTTTGGCACATTATAAAATTTAGACCAGCACAAAGAATTAGTATATGGCATTTTTTTTTCCCTTAAAGTTCGAATTTACCAGACAACACATATGTAAGGTGTAATTTTTAACCAGCTGAAATTGTGATTAATACTGAGACTAACCAGCTGAAATTGTGATTAATACTGAGACTAACAGTGACAAACCAAGGGGTTTTTAACCAGCTGAAATTGTGATTAATACTGAGACTAACTAGCTGAAATTGTGATTAATACTGAGACTAACAGTGACAAACCAAGGGGTGCAGGGAGTGGCTAACTCTGGAAAAGTAAGAGGCCGGAACTAGGTAACTGTGAATACCCCAAGAGATAGGTTTTGGTGTTTATAAAAATAAGGCTAACCTCCCAAAAAAGGTCAAATATAAGTAGTCAAGAAAATGTTATCCCAAAAGTGATACTCTAGGGGCCTCCTAAATTTGCTTAAAAGTATGGTCAAAATGTTTGTGTTCCCTCAAAATTCCTATGTTGAAATCCTAATGCCCCGAAGCGATGGAGTGAGGAAGCAGGGCCTTTGGAAAGTGCTTAGGTTGTGAGGGTGGAGCCCTCATGAAAGGCATGGATTAGTGAGTGCCTTTATAAAGGAGGCCCCAAAAAGCCTGCTTGCCCCTTCACCATGTAAGACCCAGAGAGAAGGCTATGAACCTGGAAGTGGGCCCTCACATGCCAGTACACCGAATTGGCTGCACCATGACCTTGGACTTCTTAGCCTCCAGACTGTGAGGAATGAATGTCTTGTTTTAAAGCTACCCAGCCCATGGTATTCTGTCACAGCAGCCTAAATAGACTAAGACAGGTAGAAAAGGAAATGTTATCACAAAAATGATAGTCTTAAATTTGCTCAAAGAAACTCATATATTCCCATTTTTCAAGGAAGTTCCAAAATTAAAAGACTATCCAACTGCATTCTCATGCAGTTTTTCAATTTATCTTTCTCTTACAGTAGCTTCTGGTTAACCCATATAATTTATTTTGATTTGTAAAATGACGTTTACAAAAAAGCAGAATAATTTCTAAAGGCTTTTGAAACATCATAGTATAAATTATGCAATTAAGAGAATAACATAAACTGTTTCTAGAATAAGTTGCTTGAAAAGCAATAGGAAGCTCAGTGAACTTTCATAGTACAAAATTATATTTAGAGGTAAAAAAAGACCTTCTTAACACTACTCAAGTTAAAAGTTAGTTTGTAAACTGTCATCTTGAAAGTCATGTATGCAAGACAATCATTTCTCTGAAAATAGGGATTAGCAAGCAAATTTTGAAGGGAGTTATTCTTCACCAACTTTTCCCAAAATAAAACAGTATGGAAAGAGTCAAGAGCAAAAATAATGACAACATCAGGCTAAGGAAGGAGGGAGAGAAGAAAGAGACCACTCTAACTCAAGGTGGATAAAACTGTTGACACTAGCGAAAACCAGCATGGGACCCCACTAAGCATTCCTCTCCTGATACAAAGGATTGGATTTCTCTTCTGTCCTGTGCTGGTCTCCATTCTGAGATGTGATGAAGAGTGAGAGAAATGCTGTGTGTTTACCTTTGTACCCCCAAATCTCTGTTGTTCCCTACTGTTAAATTATAGCAAAATCCAAATAAAAATGATCACTTCCCTCTTTAGAAACACTCATTTATATAATTACTCACCTGAGTTAATACTTGCAAATTACTTAGAAGAGTACGTAGTATATAATGAGAGCTATATAAGTATTTGTGAAATAAATAAATGAATACATAAGACAAACAAACAAATAATGTCTGCTTTCTTTTTAGACTGAGTCTCACGGGATTAGGAACTTTTCTATCACTTTATCTCCAGCAGCTTGTACAATACCTGGCATGAGGCGGCCTTCCACATATTCTTTGAATTGAAATGAAGTTAAATGTGCTTCCATCTGCAACAGTTTTTAAAAATCAAACCTAATTTTAAAGATACATATTTCATCCTGTCATTTTAAAATATCACAAAAAAATCAGAAAGTGTGGAAATGCAAGAAAGGAAATCATTAGTGTAATAGATATGTGAATGTTTATGAACTTTAATAGTGCTCACAAGCATGGCAGTTAGGCAATTTATACTAAATTCATTTTGTATAATAAAGTAGAAAGGTAGTTTTGCAAAATTAAACTGAGTCAGATTACTGTGCTTGACTATTCAACTTATTCTGTTTGTTTGCGTATATTTGAAATTTATTTCTTTGCACAGATAGATGTGTTTACTTCGCAAACCTAAGAATAAAAATAACATAACTAGTAACTTGTTGTATTAATAAATCAGAATATTTTTCTAACCACATTTATTTTTTCCAAGAGGAAATAACAACATATTATCTCCTCTCTAAATGATGATGATATTAATCTCTCAAATTTCTATAGCATTCCAATGAGTTCTATTATAAATGGATATAAACAAGTCTAAATTATCAGTGAAAATACGTTTGGAATTTTTTTAGTTGAATGCAATTTGATATACAATACTGTAAATTTAAAGTGTATAACATGTTAATTATACATCTATATATTTTAATATGATCACCATTGTAAAAATAATTAGCACTCCTATCATGTTACATAATTATCACTTCTTTTTAGTGGTTGGAATAATTAAGTTCTAGTCTCTCAACAAGTTTGATGGTTAGAATACAATATTGTTGTCTATATTCACTATATTGTGCATTAGATCTCTAGGCTAGGGCTTATCTATTCTCTCTTTGCAAGTCTGTACCCTTAAACAACATCTGTCCTGTCACCCCACCCTTCATTCCCCTGGTGATACAAGCTTGGCTTTTTAATTTATTTTTATTTTTTTAAATTTTTTATTTTTAATTAATTTATTTTTATGGTGACATTGGTTAGTGCAATCTGATAAGTTTCAGCTGTACATTTCAGCTGTATATATTTACATTGTGTGTTCGCCTCCCATAGGTAGATTTCTTTCTGTCACCACATATTTGACCCCTTTTACCCCGGCTACCTCCCCACTCCCTCTACCCCCTACCCTCTGGTAACCACTAGTCTATTGTCTATGTCCATGAGTTAATGTTTGTTTGACCTGTCCATTTATGGCTTTTAGGTTAATATCCCACATATAAGTGATATCATACAGTACTTGTCTTTCTCTGTCTGACTGATCTCATTTAGCACAATATGCTCAAGACTCATCCATGTTGTTGCAAATCGCAGAAAGTCCTTCTTTCTCATGGCTAAATAATTAGAATTAAAAAACATTTTCTGGAACAGTCGCTCGCAAAATTGTATATATTTTACACAGACAGATAAGCGTGTATGTCATCATACTAAGATGTTGTGCAATGCATATGATTTCCCAGACCAAGAAACACATATAATAAAACTCTAATTTGGTTGTATCCATCCTCCCAAAGTCATGATAGGCATGCAAATATTTCTGGAAGAAGTTCAAAGAAAGAAAATGTAAACACACACTCCTTTAATCACCCTTACTGAAAGGCGCCGATCCCTCTCACATTCTTTTTAATGTGCTGCAAAATTGTAACCAAATCTTAGAGTGGATAGGATATACCCTCTTTATATAAATGTCATCATTAAAAATTATTTTGATAGATTCATCACGGCACAACCACCACAATAGCAGGAGGCAGTTTAGGTCCAGGGTGAGGGATGGAAGTCAAGTATTGGCTGCTGTATTGCCGATGGCAAAACATCCAAATTATTAACTGACAGATAAAGGTCTGACAGATAAAGATTCCTTTTCACAGGCTGGAAATTAATAATAACTGCATTCCTAGAGTTAAAATGGAAAACAGATGAAAATAGAAAAACCTGACTGGCAGTGAGTGGGAAAAATAATTAATGGGAAACCACTGAAGGATCCTACAAATCTGTCCTAAGTAATGTTCTCAGTTTTCAGCCAGACTCCTTGAAGGTGATATATTTTCTTATAAAAGGCTTCCTATACCCACACCTGCCCAAAGGATATATTTCACATTAGTATTCTCCATCTTAACTTTTTAAAAGGGTCTATGGCGATATTTAAACATTCACAAAGGCAATTTCACTGGGAACCCGAATGAGAGCTTGGTGACTTCGAACTTTGAACACGGTTACATTCTCCATCCTGGGCTGTGTCCCTGGATTGGTAAACCTGCCTCAGTTCACAGCCAGACTGAACCCCAGTCCTTCCCGAGTGGGTCTTAAGAACTGTTGCAGACCTAAATTATAGCAGATCTAAACTACAGCAGACCAAAATTATAACAGTTCTGCTTCACGATGGCCAGTGCCTGTGTTATATACAACTTAATCTTGCCATCTAACTCCCACCTTCTGTCTCCTCTACCATTGTCTGTGAAGTAGGTTCCATCTTACTTTGCAGTCCCAAGTTCCCATCAGACTAAGGCACAGCAGAAAGGCACTTCATCAAGTAGGCAGAAAAATCAGGAAAAATAACTACTTCTGCCTTTTATGGAGTGTAACTGGTAGCCCTGGATCATGGGAAGAGCTATCAGTGATATCAAATGGAATAGCACTGTGGCATTTGGCATCAGACGTGAGACCAAGACCTAGCAGACAAGGAACTGATTCCTTGGACAAAAGGAATAAAGGGCCAGGAACTGCAGGAGCTGCTTTTTTTTAGCACAGTAGGCCAGTTCCTCTCAACACGTCCCCTGTTTGGGGCCACTGTTCCATGAACAGCTGAGAGGGGAAACCCTTTATCTTTCCATGTGTGAAAAAAAGAAAACTGTCCTACAAGGAAGAATGAACTGTCTGCCCAGAGCCAAGCTCGGAACCCTCTTGATTTTCTGGCAATCTGACAATCTGGGCAGCAGTTTCCAATACTGCTCTATTCTCCATGGACTGTCTGCCTCAGTCTGTGGACATTGCAGTAATAGTTTGGTTAATAATAGTTCCAAGTCACTTCAGGTGGGTCTATGCTTTTGAGCTTGAAACTGATGAAACTAAGTTATTGTTTCA